TAGTTTACAAATACCGTCCTAACTGAAAGTGTTCTCCCTTTGTCTGGTCACCCTATAATCCAAGTGAAAATTGTAGATGGATGCAAATAACATTCTGAGGGATAGCCAACATGGATTTAGGAGAGGTAGATCCTGTTTAACGAATCTACTTGACTTCTTTGAGGAAGCTACAAGTGAAATTGATCACAAAAAGGCCAACGATGTGATCCCCTTAGATTTCCAGAAGGCCTTTGATGTCCCCCACAAATGGCTCTTGCTTAAGCTCAAAGCTGCAGGGATTTTAGGAACTTTGGCAGCTTGGATCGAAAACTGGTTAACAGACAGTTATTAGAGGCACAATGTCACAGTGGGCCTGCATTCATAGTGGGGTACCGCAGGGTTCAATTTTAGGACCACTATTGTTCCTAATTTACATTAATGATATTGACACCAATACATACTGTACAGGAAACTGGTTAAATTTGCAGATGACACCAAGGTGGGTGGTCTAGCAGATACTGATCTAGCAGCAGAGAGGCTACAACGGGTTCTGGATTTAATTAGCGATACTTGGCAGATGAAATTTAACACAGATAAATGTAAGGTAATCCATGCATGGAGCAGAAATATAAAGTACAGATATTTTATGGGTTCCACTGAAATAAAGGTAACTGATTACAAAAAAGATCTCGGTGTGTATGTTGATGCTTCCATGTCTCACTCTCGCCAGTGTGGGGAAGCAATAAAAAAGGCCAATAGAATGTTGGGTTATAGGTGTGTGGAGTTTAAGTCAAGGGAGGTGATGTTACATTTATATAATTCCTCGGTAAGACCCCACCTAGAATATTGTGTGCAGGTTAAGGCAGGGGCGCCGCCAGAAATCTTGGGCCCCATGAAAGATTAGAATTTTGCCCCCCCCTTTTGCGAAAAGGTAAAGCCCCTAACAGGGCCCCATGTCAGTGCTGGGCCCCTAGAATTGTTCTAACCTTTCCCCCCCTGGCGGCGCCCCTGGGTTAAGGACATTGCTGCCTTAGAAAAGGTGCAACGGAGGGCTATGAGAATGATTCCTGGTCTTAGAGGAATGTCTTATGAGGAG